GATGAAGAACTTAAGAATACTGAGAAAACAGTTCTAGGAGAGAGTGTGCGAGCATTTACTGAGACTGGTAATATCGGGAGAAGAAGAGATAGAAATCTTTAATGTTTACGTGCCCACAGAAAGTGCCCAACGGACAGAATTATTCCAGCAATTAGAATTATACATGGCGGATCGGGAGGAAACAAATGATTGTCGATGACTTCAATTTTGTGATAGAAGGAGACAGGGAGGGAAGTAGCATCAGTGAAGCAATGGAAACATCAGCACGAATCCTGAGGGAGATGATTAAAAATGCAGGATTGGTAGATGTATGGGCGAACTCCAGAACAGCAACAAGATTTGATCCCAGAGGAAGGAGGTCTTCGAGAATAGACATAGTCCTATTATCAGAAGGATGGCAGGTGATGCAAAAGAACATAACAGGGGTTGTAGTGAGTGACCATTGAGCACTACAAGTCAAACTAAAAACAAGCCAGAAGTGGTGGAAAGGAGAAGGAGTGTAGAAGCTAAACATGAGATTGTTAGAAAACGAACAACTGTGTAAGGAATACGCAATGCTGTATAAAAGCTGGAAAACAGTAAAGGCAATGCAGGATTGGTAGATGTATGGGTGAACTCCAGAACAGCAACAAGGTTTGATGCTGCAGGAAGGATGTCAAGAATAAACCTACTCCTATTATCAGAAGGACTGGAGGTTTTAAGATCTCCTGGGATTGGTGGAGAATGATTAAGAAGCGAACAGGAGAGGTTTTCTGCAGAGCAGGACAGAAGGCAGTTTAAAGAAACAGATGAGAACTGAGAACCCTACAGAAGGAACTAGAGAAGATGCTAAAACAAACAGCACAAGGGGAAAACCACAGAGAATAGATTGACAAAGACGAGAGCTGACTCACCAGATGGTTTAGAAAAAGAGCAAAAGTAAAGGTCTTTTTAACTCGAGCACCATGGACAGAAGAAGGAGAATCATGGAGTAAAACCTTGCCAATCAAACTCAAAGCAGTGAAAAAGGAACTGCAGACAGTGAAGGGAGCATAGGGGGCACAGGGGGCTCCCCAGCACACTCAGCAGCAGACCCAGAAGTGGACCAGAAGCACTTCCGGTCGACTTCCGGGTCGACCGGGGGGCACGCGGGGTTCCCCTGCCTCAGCGACTGGTGCCTCCTGGGTTTAGGGGGGGACCTGGGGTCCCCCCGCTGCCAATCACCAAGCTAGAGGGGTGCAGGAGGCCCCCTTCCGGTCCACTTCCAGGTTCATCACTGAGCATGTGAAGGGCCCTCCCCCCACTCCTGTGGGACTCTCCTTCCACCAGAGCATCGCAGTGTTTAGAAACCACTCTGGTACCTTGAGGTATGTGGAAAAAACATTTAAAGCTGTGTCTATGTCCGAATCGCTGATTCTCTAGATCAGCATCGAATCTTCAGTTTCAGATTAGGCTGAATCAAATCAGGGACAGTGATCCGAATCAGCGAATCGAATCGCTGTCCCTGATTTGGGAAGAATCCGAATCGAATAGGGCCCGCTTTGCACACCCTTAGTTCCTAGCTGTGGAGCAAATTCGGGAGAGAGTCATAATAGTAAAGATGTATTTAGAGGTGATACACAAGGCAGACATAATAAGATGGATAGAACAGAGAGTACAAAGAGTAGAGACAGTGGAGAGAGTCTTAGATAAGTACAGAATATGGATGGGGGCCTGGAGAATGAGGGCAACCCTCAAGAGCAATGAATTCAACAAAGGAGGGTGAGGCACCTGCTATTTGTCATCCAGGTAGGGCCCCAACAATGTGGTTGTTGACTTGACATGTGCCAGATCAACACTCGGGATCCCAAAATTGTGCTGTTAGACAGAAGGGCATGATACAAAATTATACACACACGCACATACTACACAAACACCACTATGAGTTCACACACACACACACACATGTACAAACACAAACACGCACTTTCGTGGCTGTGTGTAAACACTAGGGGACGTTTGGGGTAACTTGGTGCTTGGGGTTATTTAAGGTCAAGTGTCCTCGGGGTTACTCGGGGTCACTTAGGTTTAATGTGCCCTGGGGTTACTCGGGGTCACCTGATGCCAGGGTGGAAGCGAGAGGAAAAGCCCAGTGGCAAGGAGGAGACAGCTGGGAAATGGAGGGGCAGAAAGCTGGGAGATCAGGAGGGAGATAAGTGGTAGCAATGAGGCACCAGCTATATAAAAGCTGGAAAACAGTAAAGGAAATGCAGGATTTGTAGATGTATGGGTGAACTCCAGAACAGCAACAAGTTTTGATGCTGGAGGAAGGACGTCAAGAATAGACCTAGTCCTATTATCAGAAGGACTGGAGGTTTTCATATCCTCTGGGATTGGTGGAGCGTGATTAAGAAGCGAACAGGAGAGTTCTGCAGAGCAGGACAGAAGGCAGTTTAAAGAAACAGATGAGAACTGAGAACCCTACAGAAGGAACTAGAGAAGTTGCTAAAACAAACAGCACAAGGGGAAAACCAGAGAGAATAGATTGCCAAAGACGAGAGCTGAATCACCAGATGGTTTAGGAAAAGAGCGAAAGAAAAGGTCTTTTTAACTCGAGCTCCATGGACAGAAGAAGCAGAAACATGCAGTAAAATCTTCCCAATCAAACTCAAAGCAGTAAAAAAGGAACTGCAGACAGTGAAGGGAGCAGAAGGGAAAAGTGCAACGGGACAGGAGAAAGTGCTGGAAGTGTCACAATCCTATGTGCCAGTTATCCTATGAATAACTATACAAAGGTAGAGGGACAGACAAAATAAAAGTCCATTCATTGTGGAGGAAATTGTACAAAGAATAGACGAAGAAGGAAGAGTGGAGATGGAGAGAGAAATTACCCAGAAGGAGGCGTATGAAGCAATGAGAAAGTTGAAGAGGGGGAAAAGCACCAGGCCAAGACAGATAACCAAGTGAATTTTATGAGAAATTTGGGGGATGCATAGGCAAAGACCTGGTAAAATTATTTAATAAAATGTGGGAGCAAGGTGAAATAGATAAACAGTTTGTATAAGGAGTCATAGTCCTTAAAAATAGTAGAGAAATAATTTAGAGAGAATTGGTAACCAATTACACTGGTAAACACATATTATAAAATCTTTGCAAAAGTGTTAGCACAAAAAATGAGGGGCAACTTAGCAGATCTGATCCAGAAGGACCAGAAGTATGCCATATGAGGGAGAAGAATTGCAGACACGTTATGGTTAATAAGGGACATGCTGGTAGATGTGGAATAGAGAAAGCGAAACACAGTGGTTATGAATATAGATTTGGAAAAAGCATATGACCAAGTAGAGTATGGGTTCGTGCTCACAGTCCTAGGAAAAATGGAATTCCTAAATAAGATGATCCAGGCAATACAGCTGCTGTATGAGATGGCCAAGAGCCATATTGATAAATGGTTACTTGAGCTGGAACTTTGATATATGATCTGGAGTAAGACAAGGCTGCCTGTTATCAGCCGGGCTTTTCATGTGTGTCCTAGAGTCTTTGCCCCAGAAAATAAGGAGAGACAAGCTGATTCCAGGGGCCAAAATCCTTGATGGAAAAGAATCTAAGTGCGTGCTATATATGTAATAGGACAAGACCAGCTGTTGATTGATAGGGTATGAAACAGACTACAGCAAAGTGGCAGGGGCAAAAATTAATAA